GTTCCCCCTCCCCCCCCCAGATAATGAGGAAACTATATTATACTTTCTCAAAAAATTATTTCAATAACTTACCACTACAGATTTCTGGAGCAATCTCTGATGTTACTATATTGGCTTAATGATAAACATGTTAGCAAACTGTTTTGAGTTTTCACTGTGGAACCCAAATGAAAAGACACTGAAAATGTTGGTCCAGTCCAACCAGTTTTACTCTTAATCACGTTAAACATCTTCTGTATTAGTGACTAACTTCAGTGTGATGAGCTTGTTCAAAAATGAAAGCTGCAGGGTCACTCTCCAGAGATTCATTAGAGAGCAGAGTGATGGAATGGGGTAGTAGTGACTTAAATAGCACATAAACTTGCTTCAGGGAATAAGACACTCATGAATAATCAAGCGAATAAAACATTGGACCAAGCAAACTTTTCTTTTACATAATAATATTAATTGCGAAGAGTTTGAAATGTACCAGTTTTTCTGATTGTACATTAATACCATTAGAACGTGTATGCTGAATACTAACTTACCTACAACATGTATGATTCCCACAACTGCCTTTTTTAAAAAATATACTTTTATTGATTTTTTACAGAGAAGAAGGGAGAGGGATAGAGAGTTACAAACATCAACGAGGGAGGAACATTGACCAGCTGCCTCCTGCATACCTCCCACCAGGGATGTGGATGTGCCTTCAACCCAGGTACATGCCCTTGACCAGAATCGAACCTGTGACCCTTGAGTCCGCAGGCCAACGCTCTATCCACCAAGCCAAACCGGTTTTGGCAACTGCCACTTTTTTTTTTATAACAATCTGTTTCTTGTCAGTTTCAGTAATATTGCAAAAAGGTTACACTTGGACAAGATTGCTAACTAAACACCATAGTGCATGCTAATAAGTTTTACTTGTGTAGTAAGTACAAGGTTGGTAAGAACAAGGCTATTCTTTGCTGTGTTCATAAAACGGAACGTAGAAGAGGTTAACAGAAAAAAAAAGATTCATTATTTTCTTTGTCAAAGAAATTTTATGTAGCCTCTTGGAAAGAAAGGAGCAAAACAGAATAATTTTGATATTTTAAAATGGCCGGGAATGCTGAATTTAACTACATTAAAAATACATCAGTAGGATTTCTTCCTTCCTCCTCCACAGGAATTAACAATATATTTCTCACAGACTTCTGTTAGCTACTTCTATTATCTAAATGTCTACCCAGATGAATAAGTGAATGACTCATATCATTGAAATATTTCATAAGGTTTTATGATGGTATTTCAGGGGGAAATACCATTTTATCTTCCAACAGAAAAATCTTCGGCAATGACGATTAAAATACCGGAAAGTAAGAGTTCCCTCAGTGAAAAGGGGTCTACAAATGAGATTTTTAGTGTATTAGATGAACCCAGGAGGCTGGATCAGTTCCGGGGCTAAGAGATTTAACCCAGAATTTCCCAAATTTCCTAGGACCCTCCTATAAGTCCTCTGAATAACAAAAAACAGAAACTCAGAACAAACTCATGGTTCTACTTCTGTCTAAAATGTCATCTTGGATTTGAAACCAGATCAGTCTCTGATCATGGAGACAGGATGACATTTATCTTGTTGGAATCACTGTGCTACAGAATTGCTCTATTGCTTGATTTGCATTTTCCAAAATTATGTAATTCCAACAGGGCACCATGCAGATAGAAATAGACCACAGTGACCAATTCTTGTGATTAAACCATGTATTGGGAAAGATGAAAACCTCGGAGACAGACATAACATGTATACACACATTACGAAAGGTTGTCATGGCAACTTTGCTTGAAGATATGTATTTTTAAATCTAAGCAAATTAAACATTCAAAACACATTTGCATCTTCCTCAAAGGTTCTGTATCAAGAACATGTATTTTTTAAATCCCCCAATTCCTTCTGAATCGACACCTTCTTGAACACTTAACAAAATTCTATAAATATAATAGCAGCACATATTTTCAAAAGGATATGAGAAAAATCCAAAGCGAACGCCTAATAATGTTACTACTCCCAGAAGTCCCAAGCTTCTCCCTCGAGTCTAAATTTTTAGATTGTGAGCAGGCTATGCCATATAATCCTTACAAGAGCCTTTCAAGCTCGAAAAATCAGTTATCTATTAGCAGATGACCTTGCCAGTACAAGCAGCAAATCGTGAAAGTTGAACACACCAAGTGCTGCCATATAATTAAACAAGTC